TGGTGGCGCGTGCCTGTAATCCCAGCTACTTAGGAGGCTGAGGCAGGAGAATTGCCTGAACCCAGGAGGCGGAGGTTGCGGTGAGCCGAGATTGCGCCATTGCACTCCAGCCTGGGTAACGAGAGCGAAACTCCGTCTCAAAAAAAAAAAAAAAAAAAAAAAAAAAAATTAGCCAGTCTCATAAACCAATCTCAAAATAAACTAAAACGAAATTTTTTTTTTTAATAAAATAAGTTTTTTAAAAAAGAATTTCCTAGCAGAGAGGCCAGGATGGGTAAAGAAATAAAGCAAGAACATGGGGACCACAGGAAACAAGTAATTTAATATATAATAGTTAAGAAGTTTATAGATTTGTTTTAAAACCTATTATTTCTCTCCTCTTCAGAGGACTTTGGATTTAAGCATCGTCTCTGGGTATATTCTGGAAGGAGAGGTGTTCATTGTTGGGTCTGTGATGAATCAGTTAGAAAATTGTCTTCTGCAGTACGTTCTGGGATAGTTGAGTATTTGAGCCTTGTAAAGGTAAGGTCCTCTGAATTCTAATTTGCACTGCTTTATTTTCTAGATGTTACCACACCTGATATGTTTATTGTCAAAGAAAATAAAACTATCTTTAATGGCATTCACATTGTAGAGTAAACGAAGTTACCGATAGATCATTTAAAGTCATAGTAGCTACATGTTTTTTTGTTGTTTTGTTTTTGTTTTTGTTTTAATGGAGTCCCACTCTGTCGCCCAGGCTGGAGTGCAGTGGCATGATCTCAGACACTGTAATCTCCACCGCCCAGGTTCAAGCAGTTCCCCTGCCTCAGCTTCTCTAGTAGCTGAACTACAGTCATATGCCACCACACCTGGCTAATTTTTTGTATTTTAGTAGAGACAGGGTTTCACTATGTTGGCCAGGATGGTCTCAATCTCAGGACCTCATGATCCGCCCACCTTGGCCTCCCAAAGTGCTAGGATTACAGGCGTGAGCCACAGTGCCCAGCCATAGTAGCTACATGTTTTAAGATATTTCATTTTAGGCCGGGCGCAGTGGCTCAAGCCTGTAATCCCAGCACTTTGGGAGGCCAAGACGGGTGGATCACGAGGTCAAGAGATCGAGACCATCCTAGTCAACATGGTGAAACCCCGTCTCTACTAAAAATGCAAAAAATTAGGCCGGGCGCGGTGATTCAAGCCTGTAATCCCAGCACTTTGGGAGGCCAAGGGGGGTAGATCACGAGGTCAAGAGATCGAGACCATCCCGGTCAACATGGTGAAACCCCGTCTCTACTAAAAATACAAAAAATTAGCTGGGCATGGTGGCACGTGCCTGTAATCCCAGCTACTCAGGAGGCGGAGGCAGGAGAATTTCCTGAACCCAGGAGGCGAAGGTTGCGGTGAGCCGAGATCGCACCGAGCCGAGATCGCGCCATTGCACTCCAGCCTGGGTAACAAGAGCGAAACTCCATCTCAAAAAAAAAAAAAAAAAGATATTTCATTTTATTTTGCTATAAATCTTCCTTTGTGACATATGTAAAATGATAAAATAGATTTATTACATATAAAATAATAGAACATACTAAAGTTTGGTTTTGGTTTGGGTGTTTTGTTTTGTTTTGTTTTGCTTTGAGACATGGTCTCACCCTGTCACCCAGGCTAGAGTATAGTGGCGTGACCACTATACAAACAAGGCTCCCTGCAGCCTTGACCTCCTGGGCTGAAGTAACCCTTCTCCCTCAGCCTCCTGAGTAGCTGGGACTACAGGCATGCACCACCATGCCCAGCTAATTTTTAAATTTTTTGCAGAAACAAGGTCTCACTTTATTGCCCAAGCTGTTCTCAAACTCCTAAACTCAAACTATCCTTCCACCTCAGCCTCCCAAAGTGCTGAGATTACAGGTGTGAGCCACTGCACCCAGCCTAAGAATTTTTTTTTTGTTTTTGAGACAGTCTCGCTCTGTTGCCCAGGCTGGAGTGCAGTGGCATAATCTTGGCTCACTGCAACCTCCACCTTCCAGGTTCAAACAGTTCTCCCATCTCAGCCTCCCAAGTAGCTGGGATTACAGGCCACCATATTGGTCAGGCTGGTCTCAAACTCCTGACTCAAGTGATCTGCCCGCCTTGGCCTCTCAAAGTGCTGGGATTACAGCGTGAGCCACCATGCCCAGCCCTAGAAATTTTTAAATTACAATTATGAATCACTTAAGAACAAGGATACATCCTGAGAAATGCATGACTGTGCAAAAGTCTTGGAGTATAATTAAACAGACCCAGATGGTATAGCCTACTATACATCTAGATTATATGGTATAACCTATTGTTCCTAGGCTATAAACCTGTACATGTTACTGTACTAAATACTGTAGGCAGTTGTAACACAATGGTAAGTATTGATATATTGATGTAGCTAAATATACCTAAACATAGAAAAGTCACAGTAAAAATACAGTATTACAATCTTAAGAGATCACCATCTTTTTTTTTTTTTTTTTTTTTTGAGATGGAATGTTGCTCTTGTTGCCCAGGCTGGAGTGCAGTGACACGATCTTGGCTCACTGCAACTTCTACCTCCCAGGTTCAAGTGATTCTTCTGCCTCAGCCTCCTGAGTAGCTGGGATTACAGGCATGCACCATCAAGCCTGGCTAATTTTTTGTATTTTTAGTAGAGATGGGGTTTTGCCATGTTGGCCAGGCTGGTCATAAACTCCTGACCTCAGGTAATCCACCCACCTCAGCCTCCCAAAGTACTTGGATTATAAGCATGAGACACCACTCCCGGTAGGACCCACCATCTTATATACTGTCTATCATTGACTAAAACGTCATTATGCTGCACATGATTGTATTTCTTTTATGTTGTATATTTGAAGTTCTTTTTTGATGATTTATTTTGCAGGGTGGTCAAGACGTCAAAAAGAAAGTTCACCTAAGTGAAAAAATTCACCCCTTTATCAGGTCTGTTGGAAAAGTCTCCATGCACTTCAAGGTGTCTGATTTACCAGCATGTGCCTTTAGAGTTACCTTGCTATCAATTTTCACTGCTGGATAGCATTTTATAATAATAATAGCTATAGTTAATTCAGTGCCTATTTTATGCTGCAGTATTCTTAATAGGTGCTTTATAGATGTTCTCATTGCTCTTCACAACTACCCCACAAGAGACTTGATGGTATCTCCATTTATAGATAAAGAAAGTGAATTTTAGATTGTATAATGAGCTTGGCATCACACAACAAGTTATTTGTTAAATTTAGGATTCATGCCCTGGTCTGCGTGACTCAGCCCATGCTTTTTCCACTGAATTCACTACTTCTCTAGGATAGTGGGAAAGCATTAGGAATAAAAATCCCTATTCTGCCACTTACTATGATCTTGATAAAATATTGCTGCCTCCATTTCCTTATCTCTATGATGGGGAGAACAACACCTACCTGTCTCACAGAGTTGTGGCAATGATTAAGTGAAAGAGTAAATGTTAAGCATATTTGTAAATTGCAAACATTATATGATTGTTGAGATGTTAATACAAGCAATTCACAGTGGAAATTGTGAATTTCTGCATCCCCCATTCTACTACTGATGTATTATGGTGTCCTAGGCTGGTTGCTTTCTACCCTTATTGCGTATATTAACCTTCTAAGTTGTGTAGTTTAAAAAGTAAACATTTCTTGTATACCTATTCTGTGCCAGGTTATTTTCCCTTAAAGTGTCTCATTTAATTATCATAACCCTACAAAGGATAATATTCCCATTTTATCTAATTAAGTTCTAAAAATGTCATGAAAATAAGCAGTAGTCTTCCCCACAATGGCCGCATTACCTATGTGGCATATGTGTTGCTAATAGTGTTGGGACTCTGTGTTACTGTTGTTCCTACAGAAAATCTATAAACATAATAAATAAATACTTTGAAGAATATGCATTGGTTAATCAAGATATTCTCGAAAATAAAGAAAGCTGGGATAAGATTTTAGCCCTTGTTCCTGAAAATATCCTTTCCTGTGATCATTTCTGTGTTAACTAGTTGTTTTGATCTGTGATAATATAAATGTGTAGATACGTCTGCTTGTAGGTTCTCATATAAGTATAATCTTTTTTATACAAAATATCTCCTGTATTTCTAGAGTTCAGTATCTCTTGTCTGGCACACAATAAAAAAAAATGAGGCCATGCTGCAAATCAGTTTTCTCATTTTGGAAGTTGGTCCTCTAATTAATGGCTAAAGAATGGTGAATCATATAGTCAAAATACATACAGACCATGGAAAACTTTACATTTTTGGTTATTTTGGCATTCTTTCTGTTTATCATCACAATATTTCTGCAGGGGAAGATTTCAAGGATACAACTGGTGTTGGTTTGTTTGGTTGTTTTGTTTTGTTTTTGAGACAGTCTCATTCTGTCACCCATGCTGGAGTGCAGTGGTGCGATCTTGCTTACTGCAACTTCCGCCTCCCAGGTTCAAGCAAATTTCCTGCTTTAGCCTCCTGAGTAGCTGAGACTACAGGCACACACCACCACATCCAGCTAATTTTTTGTATTCTTTTTAATAGAGATGGGGGTCTCACCATGTTGGCCAAGCTGGTGTCAAACTCCTGACCTCAAATGACCCACCTACCTTGGCCTCCCAAAGTGCTGGGAATACAGGCGTGAGCCACCGTGCCCAGCTGGATACAACTGTTGAGTTTTAACATTTGTGGGGTTGTTTGTTTTTTGAGACGGAGTCTCACCCTATCACCCAGGCTGTAGTGCAATTGCACAATCTTGGCTCACTGTAATCTATACCTTCTGGGTTCAAGCATTTCACCTGCCTCTGCCTCCCAAGTAGCTGGAATTACAGATCTGTGTCACCATCCCCAGCTGATTTTTGTATTTTTAGTAGAGATGGGGTTTTACCATGTTGGCCAGGCTGGTCTTCAACTCCTGACTGCAGGTGATCCACCACGCCTGGCCAACATTTATGTTTTAAGAAACGTTAATAATTACTGTCTAAATATTTATAAGCTACCCTGTGGTAGCTTTGCGCAGTTGCAGTGTCGTAGCCAGTGAGGTTTATCCGAGGTGTGATTATTGCTAATTGAAAAATTTTCCCAATACACCACCATGAGACTTGAAATATAGTCACCGTTGGCAATTTTTGACAGTCTCTACAGACATTGAATTTAAAAAAAAAAGAAAATATACCCTTGTGGTAATACATATTGAAAATTAACTTGTTCATTGATGTCCCTTCAATGAGTCTTCCTTAATGACCCATCACCAATTCATGATGAACTTCAACAAAACTTCCAAAAGTCTCACAGTTCACTTCAGCGTTGGGAGCACTTGAAGAAAGCAGCCAGCAAATGTCAGGTATATTCCATTGAAATCTATATTATAAATATAATAATACAATTCTTAATTAAATTGGTTTTGCTTAGTCAGTTAAAGATGGTTGAACATCATTTTTTTAACTTTCTTTAAAGAAATCCTCAACAGTTCCTACTGATCCTCATGCTGGCCTTGTATCTGCTTTTAGAATAACATTAAAAATGACAAATGTGGACCCTGGCTGGAGTGGGAGATTATGCTCCAGTACTGTTTTCCACGGCTGGATATCAATGTCAGCAAAGGAATCAATCATCTACTGAAGAGTCCTTTTAGTGTGCATCCTAAAACAGGTACTACATGAAGAAACTAAGGAAAACTAAAAGAAAAATGAGTTGCTGTTGGCTTTAGTAAGCATGGCTTTAGGTCTGAATATATATAATGTCCTATGGTTTTTAAAGGTAAAAGAATTGCTCTGTCACCTAATACCTAAATTAGTGTTTTGTTTTGTTGTTGTTGTTTTTGAGACAGAGTTTCACTCTTGTTGCCCAGGGTGGAGTGCAGTGGCACAATCTCAACTCACTGCAACCTCTGCCTCTCAGGTTCAAGCAATTCTCCTCCCTCAGCCTCTTGAGTAGCTGGGATTACAGGCATGTGCCACCACGCCCGGCTAATTGTATTTTTTTTAGTAGAGATGGGGTTTCACCATGTTGGCCAGGCTGATTTTGAACTCCTGACCTCAGATGATCTGCCCACCTCAGCCTCTCAAAGTGCTGGGATTATAGGTGTGAGCCACCACACCCAGCCCAATTAGTCTTTTATATTGTCAGGTAAGTAGCTACCAGATGAATTTCTACTATGTAACTGTTTTTCAGTTGGGTTTCTGAGGTTCCATGTTAGATTTGGAGAGGACAGTCAAAATCTTAGAAAAACAGCTCTCATTGTACAGATGAGAAAACAGTGGCCCAAGATGTAACTTATCCAAGATCATAAAAAGAAAATTGTGGGGCCAGGCGCAGTGGCTCACGCCTATAATCCCAGCACTTTGGGAGGCCGAGGCAGGTGGATCACAAGGTCAAGAGATCGAGACCATCCTGGTCAACATGGTGAAGCCCTGTCTCTACTAAAAATACAAAAATTAGCTGGGCATGGTGGCGCACACCTGTAGTCCCAGCTTCTCGGGAGGCTGAGGCAGGAGAATTGCTTGAACCCAGGAGACGGAGATTGCGGTGAGCTGAGATTGCGCCATTGCACTGCAGCCTGGGTGACAAAAGCAAAACTCCATCTCAAAAAGAAAAAAAGGGAGGGGAGGGGAGGGGAAGGGGGAGGAGGAAGGTTTTTGTTTTTTCCAGGCAAGATCTCACTCTGTTACCCAGGCTGAAGTGCAGTGTTGGAAGGAATCTTGGCTCACTGCAGGCTCAATCTCCCAATTTCAAGCAATCCTCCTGCCTCACTCTCCTGAGTAGCTGGGACTACAGGCATGTGCTACCATACCCAGCTAATATTTCGTATTTTTTTTGTAGTCATGGTTTTGCTGTGTTGCCCAGGTTGGTCTCAAACTCCTGAGCTCAAGCAATTCACTGGCCCCAGTCTCCCAAAGTGCTGGGATTACAGATATGAGTCACTGTACCCAGCCTCATTATGTCATTTTTGAGATGTGTTGAAGTCCATATGGTATCCAAGGGGGGTATTACAAAAGAGTAATTTCTATTTCATTTCAAAAATGCTTTCTAAAGGTGTCTGGCATGTAGCTATCTGTATTTATCTCAATTAATAAACCAAGCCAGTGTAAATAAAATATTCCCATATATTTTGCCTTTTTTTTCATGACTCACTAAATCTGAGATTGTTCTGAACTTAAAAATGAAATATTTAAATATACTTTATTTCTAAATATATAAATAAAAGTAGGGATAAGAGCAACTGGGAAACAGCTCAACAGTCTGCACATCTGGGGATTTTTTTTGGCTTTTTTTTTTTTTTTTTTTTGAGATGGAGTTTCGCTCTTGTTACCCAGGCTGGAGTGCAATGGCACGATCTCGGCTCACCGCAACCTCCACCTCCCGGGTTCAGGCAGTTCTCCTGCCTCAGCCTCCCGAGTAGCTGGGACTACAGGCACGTGCCACCATGCCCAGCTAATTTTTTGCATTTTTAGTACAGACGGGGTTTCACCATGTTGACCAGGATGGTCTCGATCTCTCGACCTCGTGATCCACCCGCCTCGGCCTCCCAAAGTGCTGGGATTACAAGCTTGAGCCACTGCGCCCGGCTTTTTTGGCTATTTTTTAAAGAGAAATAAAAGGCATGAGGGCCGGGCGCAGTGGCTCAAGCCTGTAATCCCAGCACTTTGGGAGGCTGAGGCGGGTGGATCACGAGGTCAAGAGATCAAGACCGTCCTGGTCAATATGGTGAAACCCCGTCTCTACTAAAAATACAAAAAATTAGCTGGGCATGGTGGCACGTGCCTGTAATCCCAGCTACTCGGGAGGCTGAGGCAGGAGAATTGCCTGAACCCGGGAGGCGGAGGTTGCGGTGAGCCGAGATCGCGCCATTGCACTCCAGCCTGGGTAACAAGAGCGAAACTCCGTCTCAAAAAAAAAAAGAAAGAAAGAAAGAGAAAAAAAAGAAATAAAAGGCATGAACATGGTGGTTCACACCTGTATTCCCAGCAACTCAGGAGGCTGAGGCAAGAGGATTGTTTCAGGCCAGGAGTTCAAGGCCAGGCTGAGCAATATCATGAGACCCTGACTCAACAAAAAACTGAAAAACTGGCCAGGCACAGTAGCTCACGCCTGTAATCCCAGCACTTTGAGAGACAACTGAGGCGGGAGGGTCAATTGAGCCCAGGAGTTTAAGCCTGCAGTGAGCTATGACTATGCTACTACACTCCAGCACGGGTGACAAAGTGAGACCTTAACTCTTAAAAACAAGTAAGGGCACAGCTAATGTGAAAGTACTTTAATTTATATTTCTAAATACTGTTGTTAACAGATAGGTTTAACCCTTTGTCTAAGCCTTAGATAAAAATTTTAACCCAAAATAACTTGCAGTAGGCACCTACAATGATTTATAGTCCACAATCATCAGTTTATAATTTTTGCTTCTTACAGGTCGCATATCTGTGCCTATTGATTTGCACAAACTGGACGAATTTGATCCATTTACTGTTCCAACCATAAGGTATGTTTCAGATCATTGATCACTCCCTGTTTGTGATTATTGTTCTGTTTTTTTGGTTTTGTTTTTTTTTGTTTTGGTTTTTGGTTTTTGTTTTGAGACAGAGTTTTGCTCTTGTTACCCAGGCTGGAGTGCAATGGTGCAATCTCGGCTCACCGCAACCTCCGTCTCCTGGGTTCAGGCAATTCTCCTGCCTCAGCCTCCTGAGTAGCTGGGATTACGGGCACACGCCACCATGCCCAGCTACTTTTTTGTATTTTTAGTAGAGATGGGGTTTCACCATGTTGACCAGGATGGTCTCGATCTCTTGACCTTGTGATCCACCCGCCTCAGCCTCCCAAAGTGCTGGGATTACAGGCTTGAGCCACCGCGCCTGGCTATTGTTCTGAATTTTAAATAGATTAGCCTCGTACTTAGAGGAAGTAGTTTCATGGGAATGGTATATTTGGTGTGGAAACCAAATAAGGTTCAAAGGTTACATGATTATGCCCTAATAGAACAATAAAGCTTTTTTACCTGCTGTTATGTAAGAAAAAGATTTAAGGTCAGATAAGTTTAGGAAATTCTGACTTAAACAGATTAAAAGTAGCTTTTACTACAATATTTCCCAATCTTTCATAATAACATGCATGAAAAACTCCAAGAAGAGATCATGGTGTTTAGAACATCCCAAATTTCGTTGGCTAAATAATTTTTTCACCTTAAATTTTATGGAATTCATGTGCTGTTCTCTTGTTCTGTTACTTGCAGCTTCATCTGCCATGAATTGGATGCCATTTCCACTAATGAAGACAAAAAAGAGGAGAATGAAGCTGAATCTGATATCAAACATAGAACCAGAGGTAAGATAATATATTGAAGCTTCACTTTAATACAGGGTTTTAAAATAGATATCCATCTTTCACTCTAGTAATTAATTCTCTGATTCAGCCAGAATGGATCAGCGTTTGTCCTAGAACTACATACAATGCGTCCTTTTTTCAACAGTTGCCAAGTGATATTATTCAATCCAGTCTGATTCAACACATTTTTTTTTTGTTTTGTTTTTGTTTTTGTTTTTTGAGACGGAGTTTCGCTCTTATTACCCAGGCTGGAGTGCAATGGCGCGATCTCGGCTCACCGCAACCTCTGCCTCCTGGGTTCAGGCAATTCTCCTGCCTCAGCCTCCTGAGTAGCTGGGATTACAGGCACGTGCCACCATGCCCAGCTAATGTTTTGTATTTTTAGTAGAGACGGGGTTTCACCATGTTGACCACGTTGGTCTCGATCTCTTGACCTCATAATCCCACCTGGGATTACAGGCTTGAGCCACCGCGCCCGGCCCTTCAACACATATTTTTTAAGCAACTTCTAAATGCTGGGATCTATACTATAAGATTAAACTATCAGTAAGAATGAATAATCAGTCTCTGAGATTCACCACCTATTTATTTAACAACTATTATGTATGCAGTACTTTTGTTCTTGTTTTTCTGATGCATCTAGGTGAGTTTTATGGTAAACATATGTCTAAACTGTTTACCAAGGTGCATATTCAAGAATTTGAGGAAGCTAAGGAAGTTCTAAGCCTTCCTCCTAATGGAAGTCAAATCTTTTAACACCTAAGAGATGCTGCAGGCTGGGCGTGGTGGCTCACACCTGTAATCCCAGCACTTTGGGAGGCCACGGTGG